TTTTTTCTGCTTCCGACGCCCATGTAACATTGCAGTAACTTTTGTTCAACAGAGGTGAATGGAAGAACAGAGTATGTCTGTCGCTTTTTATTTGTTCTTCTACATCTTGGCTTCTTCACTGGTTGTTGACATAAGTGTAGTTCTAATACAGACAACAAAAGAAGTTACGCATAACCTTGGGGATTTCAATCCTAGTGACGTCCCTCTTATTCAGTCCCTTTTCCTGGATCATGTCTCGCTGCCTGAAAGTGGTTTGTGAGGCATTCATCCAGTCAAGGAAGGAGTACTCCATGATACTCCTGACCTGGGTTTTGTAGACATTGGCTCACATTCAGATTTGGCCTCAAGGTTCAAGCTTGTTGGCCAACTTCTGCAATACAGATGGCTGGTCCACAGGGGCTTTCTGTCAATGCATAGTACTAGGGTTAAGGGTTAAGACTTGGTTTTAAGTTTAAGATCAGAATCAGGGGCCTCATTGATAAAAATTTTAATAGATTTATATTTTGACTCACGCTGGGAATCCACTGACTCGGGATAGGGCACGTTATGGCACGATTTTGGTGCGTCCAAAGTCCACTGGAAGCATCTCTGAAGCGTTTCAGCAACGGAGCGTACAGCCTGCCTCACTTTATTGACTTGTTATTAATTTCTCATTTTTGTGCTTCTACTACCTTCTTCACAGCTGTGTGACCCTGTTTGTTCTGTCAACTTCAGGCTGCATTTCCCACAACGAGCTTATCAAAATCGGAGCATTTTGCCTGCCTGATTTTGCTGACATGTTTTGATTTTGTTGATTTGTAATCAGTGTTTGCATTTTGTGCTTCTACTATGTTTAAGTAGGCTACGTACACTGAAAAAAATTATAAACGCAACACTTTTGTTTTTGCCCTCATTCATCATGAGCTGAACTTAAAGATCTAAAAGTTTCTCTACGTACACAAAAGGCCTATTTCTCTCAAATATTGTTCACAAGTCTGTCAACATCTGTGTTAGTCTGGGAAAATCTGGGACGCACTGCGGCTGCACCTTGTGGATTCAAAAGCATTGACTATAATGACCGCGATTAGCTCCGTCAACCGCGGCGCAGCCGTAACGCGCCATAGCTGGAGTCAGTGCATTTTAGGGGTTAGTTTATTTACAGTTTGCTTACTTGCAATTCATAGAAGATCCTGAGGATAAAAACCTTGCTTACATTGGCTTTAACAAACCCATATGTAACAAAAAAATTTACAGCACCTCCCCTTATAATGCCAGCACTAATGAGGGTTTTGTTATGGGAACTCAGCAGATCCAGAAGCAGGCACAGAGACACTGGTTAAGGATTGACACTAGTGAGTTTATTTGCAAGAAGAGCTGAAGGGAGTGCTGTAGTGATCCAACCACAGAGAGGGAGAGCAGGCAGGCAGGTGGGTCCAAGTTTCCAACAAACACACGATTCTGGTCTGGCGGTGTGGCTCCGTAGCCTGAGCGGTTCCTGGAGCAGAGGCAGAAAAACACAGGTAGTTAGGAGAACGTTCAGAAAAGAGAAAGTCACAAACTGTCTGGTTGTTGGCAGAAGCACTTGTTACCAGGAAAGTTAACCTGGCGAGGATTGGATGTTGAGGCGAGATATATCACAGTAGGAGTTAATTACTTGGATTTGCTTCAGGTGTGGAGCTGCTCCAGGCAGTCAGGTGAGGAGAGAGACTGCAACACCCCTACATGACCAGCAGGAAAATCACTTATGTAAAGTTTAGACTTTGCTTAGAGAGAAGATCATTTCCACGTTAAAGTACTACTTATTCCTGGTTTTCTGTGTAAGTCATACTTGAGATAAAAACTGACCGTAAGCCCCTTTCAAAAATGAGTTTGGGGTTAGGGCAGGGGGCTGGCAAGCATGAGGTACAAGGACGTAGGTTCATGCTCTCCGCACTCACACCCAGCGGTGGACTGCATTTTCCAGGTGGGTTGAGGCACCTTGGGGCTTATGTACAGTAAAGTAGGTACAGCGGCCCATTGGTTCATTTTCTAAAATGACACTAGGCTGGCCAATCATATCTCTACTTGGCCAACCCCACCTGGTGCTCAGTTACTCAATGCCTAATAGCATTGTTTTAGTAGCCTAGCATAGTTCCCCATATGCTGTTGCAACTTTGGCAGACGATTCTAACATTAGGTAACATTAGCGTTGGCTAAGCAGTGAGTATCCATATCGTACCATAATATTTTAAAAAGTATTAGGCTAAGGGTTCCCTTGATAAAGAGCTGTAAAACAGGTTTCATCTGTAGCTCTACTGTGCTAAAATGTTTGTCTATATGGTGAGTGCACTGGTCCACTTGTCCACTGGACTTCTCTGAGCTTAGACTACTCAGCATGATGTGTGATAATTTGGGGGTCTCTAAGATATTGACAGCATGATTTATTGCCATTAATTTCTATATTTCTCTATCATCATGGATCCATGCGTAAAATCAGGAGCGTCAGACTTCAACGATCACCGACCGTCTGCAGCAAGCCTGTCGTCCCGCGATCTCCTGTACATTCCTCCGCTCCACTCTCTCTCCGGTATGGGTGGTGTCGCTAGTATGACTGACGCTGGATGAATATTATGCATTATCCATGCACCACTGCTGCTGGGGGCTCTCCGCTGCATCGCGCAACTTTCGAAATTCTTCCCTATCATGGAGAAAAGAAAGGTCAGGTCGTAAACAGCAGTTGTGTGAAATGTAATTGTAGCAAAATGGCTACACATAATAATAATAATTATTATTGTTATTATTGGATGCCTGAACATGCCTGAAACTTTCACAGTCAGCCCCAGGCCTACATGCTTGCAGCCATAAATGATTCAGCAGTAAGAATCACAGTCCCGGGAAAAAAAGTGAGCTCCTATAAAGCTATGGTACAGTTCGCACACTGAGTGTAAGGATTGTGCACTCTTTATCTGAGGCTTAGCCCTGTCTGCATGTCAGATTGCTCTTGGGCAAGATACTGAACACCAAATTGGCTGTGAGTATTAATGGTTCTTTCTATTAGGCAGATGGCATGGTGGTTTCTGCCATTAGTGTATGCATGTGTGTGAATGGGGCGAATGTGACTTGTAGAGGGGTTGGAAGACTAGAAAAGGGCTATACAAGTACAAGCCATTTTTCATTTACTGGTGGGTGATGTTCGACCAATTGTGGGGGGCCGGTCTGCTCACACCAGAGCAGGGAAACTACACAAACAACAATTTATAGCCGCACTGGTGACACTGCTTTAGGGATGTGATGTCTGTCTGTCCTCCACTTTGGTTCAGACCTTCATGTTCCCCTAAGGATGAACTGTAATAATCTCATCTGACTTTTCATTTAGCGCCATCATCTGTTCGACATGTGAAATTGTCCAACACTTCGGTTTATGAGCAAATAACTAATCACGTTCCCATCCGCTATAGCAAATCTTATGCTAAGCTAAGATGATGAACATGAGGGTTTTTTGCATGATGAATGTAAGTCCAGTATTCTGTTAGCTCTGTGTTTGGTCTCCACCAGCTCCTAAGGGAAATATATGGCTCTTTAGCTGCTAAATGCTCCGCTATGTTCACCAGCTGCTCTCTGACAGAGGCTGTTTGCTGCTGGGCAATTCGTGTACAGTGGATTTATCAGAGCTTGTTTGCTGATAACAGCTGATGATGTTGATGGTAATGCATCAACATATCAAACTGAAGATCTAATTTAAAAATGCTACATATGGCATATACATATGTTCTGCTGTTCAGTTACCCCAAGTTTTATTACCCTGTCCCAGAATCATCTCATGACTCTCATGTATTTGGGATGTTCAACATGTACTTTGGCCAATTTCCTAATCCACAAGCCTCCACCAGCTCTCCAGCTGAAGCCAAATCCACCATCTGGAGCCATTTTATTCTCCTCGCTGTTAGAATCCAGCTGAATACAAATGGGAGACAGCAAAAGGTCAGGAAAGGTCAGAAATCTAATTGAAAATGTGCGGGTGTACAGATGATGCCATTTGATGTCCCACTTTTACAGCCTGCTTCTCTTCTGCTCCAGCCACTGGAGGTATGTTTCTCTGAGACTCTCAGAGTTTTGGAACTATTTCTCTACCAACAAAAGTGTATCCATATGCCCAGTACTTAACTCCAGCTGTGGCATGAGTTGTGATTTAGTGTCAGTGAGCCTGGGTTTTGTTTTTGGTCTCTGTACAGACACGACTGTAGCAAACCTGACAATGACGGCATAACTTCAGAAAATGCTACTGTGTCCAGCTACTATTTGCCAAGGAATAGTTCCTGCACTTAATTCCCCCTAATTGCTTTGACTTTTCCGTTTATGTACAGATTAAACAAAGAATAACCATAAGTGTTAAAGAAACTAATTAAGCAAATAAGGCTTTCCAAAAGGGTTCAACTTTTCCTTTTATTCTACAGGAAGTGTTGACTTTCATTACTGTCAATAATACACTATACAAAACCAAGTTTAAAAGTGCTTTAAAGTTCAGTTTTCCTCCCATTATTTGAGAACCACTCTGCATTTAAAAGTCACCTTGAAGAAGGCTTACGAACGTGTGACCCATGAGCCTGTCCTTGTATATCCAAAGTGAGAGCATCGTCTGTATTCTTGGCACGTAGTCAAACCCGTTTCCAGTGGGTGTTGGACTGGTTCTCATGGTGCAGCTGTGGTGAGGAGAGTGTCCATTTTGGGAACCTCCGAATTGCATCTCTGCTTTCTGCAGATGTTGTGGTTCTGTTGGCTTCATCGACCGTGACTTTCAACCGCTCTCTAAGGGTGAGGGTCAGCACCTCAAAGGCCATGGTTCTCTGCTGGAAAATGGTAGATTGCTTCAGCCGGTTGGGAGTGACTTGCTGCCCCAAGTAAAGGAGTTTAAGTATCTTGGGATCTTGTTCACAAGTGACGGCAAAATGGAGCCAGAAGGCAAAGCTTTCCATTTACCCAGTCATCTACGTCCCAACCTTCACCTATGGACAAAATTACTTTAGCAGTTAATTATTCTCCTCAGAATATTCCGCGCTTGCCAGAAACTGGTCACACTCAGCTCTGCTAGTGATCACGCATTTTCACACCTATGGCTCATTTACCCGTCCATATATGTCCCAACCTTCACCTAAGCTGTGGGTAATGACCAAAAGAATGAGATTGCGGCTACAAGTGGCTGAAATGAGTTTTCAGAGTGGCTGGGCTCAGCCTTAGAGAGGTTGAGGAGTTTGGACATCCGGAGTGAGCTTGGCGTTGAGCCGCTGCTCCTTCTTAAAGGAACCAGTTGAGGATTCCTCCTGGGTGCCTTCATATGGAGGTTTTCCAGGCATGTCCAACTGGGAGGAGACCCTGGGGTAGACCCAGAACTGAGAACGCCTTGAGATCCACCATGAGGACCTGGAAAGTGTTGCCACTGCAACCTGTCCCCGGATAATCAGAAGATTGATGAAACTGCAGCATTCAAACAAAGAATTCTGAGCGAAGAATGAGAAAATAAAAGGGAGAAATAGAGAAGGAGGTTTTAAAGATACAAAGACAGATCGAGAGGGGGAATGAAGACAAGCAGTTATGAGAGAAGAAAAATAAGAGAGAGAAACAGGTCAGTATATGAAGTTGTTTCTAAAAATACAGTTTAATGAAAAGCTTTCTCCAAGTCATAAATCCTGAGTCAGAAGAAGGAGATTTACTACTGCTAAAATAATCTAGACCTTCAGACTAGGACTTTTCTGATGATTGTTGGAAGAAAAGACAGAGTGGATGTCAGAGGCAGACTGATGGGAACTTCACTCTGATAATCCCAGAATTTAGCAGGCTTTTCTTACAACCCCACCTTGAAAACTGAAGCATGAGCTGCCTGGAAGTTCATCTTCCTGCAGGGATTCTCTGGTATTCACCGCCACCGCTGTGCTGACACGTGGGACAGTCTAGCAGCTCCCAGCTGTAACTGAACTATACTGATGAAGTGATCCTGCAGGAGTGCTGCAGCCTGTATGCAGTAGAAACCACATTAATACATTTAATGGCAGCTGTTATTTTAACTCTGATAACACAAAGGAAACTTAATGCGCCTTCCATTACATTTAAAAAAACTGACATTGGTTCACTTTCTTTGGCGAAAGTTAGGAGAAGCCTAATGCCACTCTCATAGTTCCACATTGAATATGAAGCTACAGCCAGCAGCTGGTTGGCTTAGTATGACTAGGACTTGCCAGCCTGGCCATTAACTTGGGGTACCAAAATTTAGCACCACTGCAATATTTGAATGCTCTCAGTATGACATCATGCTCTTCCTTCCTTCATAGTTTCCTTGGTCACACAGCAGGTCAGGACTTGAAACAGGGAGGTAATGACAATGTGTTTACGCCGGCCTGAATACTGTTCATGTCTAAGCTACACAACCATGGACGGGATAATGTATGTTTTTCTATGAGCTGAGGTACATTCTGAAAATTCTGTACAAAAACTCATCCTCACCACCGTACAGGTGGTTTGTTCAAGCAGCTTATAACATCCCATATTTACATTTGTTTTATTGACATCTGGTGGCCATAAGACTGTAGTGTGGCACGTAGGACCAGGAAGGGGGAATTAAATGACAGCCAGCTACACCACCTAGGGAATTGCACCCCTGGAAATACCAGTTAAATCTCAATTGATTGAGATAAAGCACACAGGAACGTTACTGAGGAGGCAGAGATGTGATTCAAAATATGCCAAATTATATTTTTAATAAGCAACACAACAATTGGGAATGGGACTGCTGAAAGGAAAATAAATGTAACACTACAATAAAAGGGTAGATAAAACCTCTTTATTACAATCAAGAGTTAACAGCTTTAATAAAAGTTCAAATAAAGAGAATATAACTCCAGCGCCCCAAAATAACTAAACCAAAACTAAGCAGAGGTCACTTGAGGAGAGGCTGACTATACTGAGTGCTACCGCTACCCACCTTAAGTGCAGCACTACAACCTCACATTATTCACAGCAAAAAAAAGGTGCCTTCTATATAGTGTCCCCGTGCAACTACTCACATGCAAAAGTGAAGGGACCTTGCCACAGGTGCCTAGCCTCCCAACAAGATGGCACCCTGCTTAATATAAACTTAACAAAAACAAATTAACATAAAGTAACAAAACAAAATAACCCAGTAGGCTAAGCAAGTGCAAACTATACTAACTACTAAACTAAAGCAAAACAGCACACAGGCAATAGGGCAAACAAAAGGGCAAAGCAGGAAACTAAATGAATTAAGTAGGCAAAACACAACCAAAGGTCAAAACAGCAGTAGTCTAAAACAAGGAGGAACCTGGAAAAGTGAGGAACAGTTAAAAGCAGGCTCAACCTTACTGCATTAAAATACATTTAAAACCATGTATATTCACCACCTCTGAGATGGGTCATGAAGATACAACATCCAAAAGGTCACAAGGCAGGAGAAAAGGAGGTTCCTAATAGTGTCAAAATGCAGGTAAGCAACCATAATCAACTGTTCAGGGAAAACAGATTTGCATGAAACTATTCCTTTCATATGCCTAGACCACAAACACCAACCACAGCAGGGACAGATCAGGAAGCAGAGAGAGCAAGGGAGCACAGGTGGCTTATATAGCCTAAACCTAATAAGGAGGTTGGCCAGGGGAAGTTAAGTCCAGGCTGCATTCAACCCCACCACACCTTAACCTGCACTTGGGGAATCTTTCCCCACCACAGTAGCAAAAGAGGAAGTCAGGTAATGTAGTATAACCCACACAGGATACTGGTATTGAAGTCAGTACTTGACTTATTTAGAGTTAGATGGCGTCACTGACTTATGATATGATTTATATGACTTATGTCATGTGACATATGTGACATGCTTATTTTCACCCAAACATCAACCATGTGTTTAATAAAATGCGGTTAAGGTCCGGTACGCCTGTCTCTGGACTGGTACTTTCCAGTGGTCATATATGTTGTTTAGGGAGGCATTGACATATGACCTATTTACTTCTTTAGGCGCAAGGACATATTGGTACAAAACAACACTTGTGTTTAACTGAGACCAGTAACTTCCTGGAGTGCTGGTTGCCATTAGAGATGTTTAGATGTGCTGGTGGGTGGACTTTGTTACCTTCAGGGAGAACCGGGCTTGCTGTTTCCACGTTTTCATTCTTAATGCTAAGCTAACTAGCTGTAGCTTCATATTTAGCATACAGATATGAGAGTGGTAGCAAGAAGGCTAGAAGGCGAATAAGTATATTTCCCATATATCTCAAACGATTCCTTTTCCAGCTTAAAATTAATTCAAATGAATGTGGAGGTCAGTGAAGGCTCCCACTAGTTATTTCTTTTCAGATATCAACAAAACACTCAAGGAGATGTTGAACTTTAAGAACAGGCTATAGACAGTATTTGAGATTATATTTCCTTGAAAGGTGCAAGGACTGGGCAGTTGTGGTACTTTAATTTGTTCCTTGTTAATTTGAACCTCTTCACACATTCAACCCTGAATGACTTTTATTGTTCTGTCTCTTTAGTTATGTGTAAAGCGTCCTTGGGTCCTGTGAAAGGCACTATAAAATACAAGTTATTATTATTATTATTATTATTATTATTAGGATACTCGTTTTTGTCCCCTAATTGATGCTTTTCTTACAACCCTGAAGAATATCTTCTGTCTCAGATAAACTCCTGTACTTTGATTTCTGACACAGCTGTCACATCATTCCCATTCATTCTTCCTAATGGTGCAGCAGCAGCAGCAGCAGTCATTAATCATTGTAGTACAAGAGCAGACAGAAATGCCTTCTACAGCAGCTGGATGTATAGTGTAATGAGTGAAGGAGAGTCTGTTTGAATTTAACAAGTCCCTTTGGGTTGCAGTCCATGTTGCCTCCACCATCCAGTTCTTTAGGTCCATGTTAGTGTTTTTAAGACAGTCCAAACTGAATCACAAGGAGGGAAACCCTCAGAGCAAACAGAAGACTGAGGGCAAAGAAAGGAGAACAAAAACGTGGAAAATGACTTTATTAACAGTTAATGTTTCTCCTCAGAATCTTCCGCGCTTCCCAGAAACTGGTCACACTCAGCTCAGCTGGCGGTCACATGTGTTTTCACACCTATGGCTCATAAACCTCAGAAACAGTCCATCACACCAAGTGACAAAAAGGAATTTTCACCAGGCGGATGTTCGGAAATAAATGTAGACTGGAAGCTTTTTATTTCACATGTGGAAAACCGCGTCCTGTACACAGTTTCCTGCCTACACCACATGCTGACCCCAAACTCTGAAGCCTCCACAGTTTAATTATATCTCACTAAGACACAGTAGCCAGATTGAAATGAATAGTGACTTTGTTTTGGCTCAGTTAATCAACTTTTAGAATGAAAGTTGATACAAACATTCATGTTCCCCCTCGAGTTGAACTGTAAGAAGTCTCACGTTTCAAGAAGACATGAATGACAAACGCTGTCCTCCTCCTGAAAGCCGTCAAAGTCCTCTTAATATTCTCAACATTGCAGGAGAGCTGCTCAGTGATCAGTTGGTATTAGAAACATGAATGTGAAGCAGGGTGGGTATGGAAATAGTGCAGTACTCACACATCCCTCCCAAATTAAAACAAGGTTTTAAAAAATCCTTTGTAAGTACAGATCCCAGCGGGGGCTTTCAGTACACATATTTTTACTGTCTGAGCAGCCTGTGTGACCATGTGGTCCTCCTGGTTCAGATCCAGCTCTGAGCTCTGGTGAGACAAAAGCTCCAAACATAGAACATCGATGTCCTTTTGTTTCTCCGCAGACTGTGATACTGTATGCATGGGCTGTTTTTTTCCCCTCCAAAACAATAAAGACTGGTAACATTTGCCTGCAGCGAAATGTGAAATTGGAAACTAGAACACAAATTAATTTGGAAAGCACAGCGCCATGAAACTAAACACTATTTGTAGTCGCTGCAGATCACAGCGGCAGATCCCAGATGTGATGCTGATTTATTTATAAAACACTAACAATCTGGGAAGTGAAAATGACGTGTTGTTAAATCAAAGTCTCTGTATCATGTAGAGAAACAATCACCATGCATGCTTCCTTTTTATCCTCCACTGTGGCACTGTAATATAGACAATGCAGATGCAGCCATCCTCAAGCTGTTAGAGTAAATATCCTGCTCTGCTCTTCCATTCTTGAGTGTTATTAACCATCACACACATCTGCTTACTGAATCTAAGAGCTGCTACAATAATTTACTAGCAAACACTCTACATACAGAAGTTTCTGTTCAGTCCAGTGTTGGACCTCTTCTGGCCCTGATGACACATCATGTCACTGACAAGAAACTTGTAGCGTCCTGATGTTTGTCAGGGAAAACACATCTAGTCAAATTAAAGACGACAAAAAGCACTTTCAAAAGGCTCACGTGGGTTACCCATAAACCTTTAAAGGCTCTAGCTGTTCACTACAACTCATTGTGGTACATAATGTGGCATCCAGTAGTCACAGACAGCAGGTTCAAACACTGTTGAGGTATACACAAAGAAAAAAACACAAAGATAATACAATCAAAAGCTTATGTATCAGATCCCTGGTTGGATTCCCCCAACTACTGCTCAAGGAGCTCTACAACACACATACAGACATGCAACAACTCAAACACAAACAGGCATGTACCTCACACAGGCGCTCTATCAGTGTAGCACCAATGCAGCATGCATGCACCTCAAGTCCCTAAATCTACCTTCTCCATACCACTCTAGTGGTCAACACCAGAGTCCCCCAGGGCTGTGTGCTCAGCCCCCTCCTGTTCACGCTGTACACCCTTGACTGCATCCCCTGACATGAAGAGAACCCGTTTTTGAAGTTTGCAGATGACACCATCATCATAGGCTGGATTTCAAACAACGATGAGAGCGGGTGATTTCTCCTGAGCATCAGTGATGTTGGTGAGGTGCGGGTGATTTCTCCTGAGCATCAGTGATGTTGGTGAGGTGCCTACTCTAAACCTGAAAAAAAACTCCTACAGTACTGCTGCATCTGTCCTCTAGGCCTATTCCTGTGCTGACGATGCTTGCCTCCTAAAAGCCAGCACTATTACCTCAAACAGGGAGTCCTCTGCATCTCCGCAGCAGGAAATTAAGAATTTACCACCACCTGGAACTCCAACTGCACATCTGAGCCACAGACTTGTAACTTACATGCAGATGGAATTGGGGGCTTTCAGAAATCAAGAGGAACAACAGATTACATAGGCAGATGACCATCCCCCTGCGCTATGACTGTGCGGGGTGGGAACACACATCCTGAATCTTATGTCTGCCAAAAAACTGATGATTGGTGACCGTGCAGGACTTCTTCCCACAGGTGACCCTACATACATTTTTAAAATTTTCAGCTGCCTGTTCCTTTGAGAGAAAGTTGCGCATGTCCTTAAAAGTTTTCGCCTCAACCATATCCTCTGTTTCAAGTTTCAAGCTCTTTATTGTCATGTTCAAAATAATTACAGTTAAGCAGTCATTGGCAATGAAATTATTCATTCTCAAGCTCTCCCCACAAAGGATGCATAAAAAGAAGATCAGAAAAAGAGGATCTAAGATAATAAATAGTGAAGACATTCAAATATAGGAATATAATATATACAGAATAAAATAAAATATAATACTGCGGTATGCAGGTGTACAGTGATGATAAAATGGTTGAACTGTAATGTAGACGAGTTATGGACGAGGAAGAACACGTTTTTAGAAAGTCAGAGACTCTGTTCTGAAGCATGTAGTTCTGACTACATGTCACCACCGTCCTGCCTTTAAGGAATTACTCATTTTTCTTTAGCTCTGCCAAATGTGCCAGTGTTGTGTTTTGGGCCTCAGTGCTGTTGCTAATAAGCTGAGCTAAGCTAGCCCCATTTCTTAACATTTATCTCCATCGTCTTCCCCACGTTATCATGACATCAAATGAGCATATTATAAAATGAAACTCAAAGGATGGAGGATCTGACTTCCCCCTTTTAAATCCCGGAAAAAAGAAATAGACTAACTAGGACTTTGTGTTGAAGACATACATGTTTGACGCAGATCTGAAGAATGCTTATTGAGTCATTCAATCAGTCTTTCCTCTGCAGAGATTTTTTCTCTCCAGTCGAATCAATCTGCCTGTTTATTGAGTGATATAATTTATGTTTGAGAGAAATCATCTGGCCAAAAATAATGAAGCAATATAAGATCAGTAGTTTCAAAGTCACACTTGTTTGGCTGTGACAGAAAGTACATGTCACACATGTCACGCGTGCTGTGTGAGGCGGCTAAATCCTGCCAGAACTATTTATAAACTCATATATATTCATGCTCTGCCTCGTAGCTGATTCACGAGTGCAAGCTCAACCATTCACCCCAGCTGATCCCACTGTGTGTGTGTGTGTTGCTTTACTATACTTATACATCTGTGTACATAAGTTCAAAGCAAGTTTACATTAAATGATGAAACCATGGGGCTCTGACAAAAAAGCCCAGACATTGATTTTTACAGTGAGCAGTGAGGTCAATGGTGTTTAAGTACCTGATC